CAAAGATATTTTGATCTCTGAGTCTCTTTAAAATGTTTCAAGGAAAATTTAATCATCTGTTTGCTTCTCCAGACATAGCTTTGTAACTCCATAGACGAATATTCAAAGCAAACCACAATCGTTATGCATTTTTTTTGTTTTATTAAAGGAATAACAGAATGTCTGCTAATTCAGGCAGCCAGGTAAGCCATAGACAGTAGGCTCTGTGTTTCAGGGAAAGACCTTTAACTTTACAGGAAAAGGGTGCTTTCCTAGGGGTGTTTGAGTAAATGGGAGCAATTAAAAGTGATGTAGCATTATGCAGCCAAACAGGTCTGACGTACAACGGCTGTATTATACCTTACAAGGGATGCTTTATTTCTGTGTTCATACAGTGGATTTGTCTTATCAATATGTGACTAATGAAGACAATAATTATCCTTGCTGCCTCCCTTATAGTCCTATTATGCCTGTTTATTTATATTACATACTTACAGTATAATCTTTATAGTCTGGATACAGACTTGGCCTTCTTATACTTGGAAAGTAGATGTGAACTGAATCCGTAGGGGAACAAGCAGTGACGGTTGCGAACCACATCATCACAGCGGGTTCTCTTACAGAGTGCAGTTTTATTGAAGGCAAACTGCTCTCAAGTTAGTCTTGGAATACACAAAAAAATAGCTCTCTTCATCAGCAAATCATTAAGCAAACTATTGAGATAGAGGAGACTGCGCACTAGGACCAATGCACCACAAAAGGTGTGAAGCCTGACTGTCACAGGGCATGTCATACAAGAACAGGCTGCTGTGGCCATCTCAAAAAAGTCATGAAAGAATTGTAAGGGGGAAAGTGAGAGACATTAGATCTGTAATCATATTACCTAATGATATGTGGTGGTGTAGAGAAAAGTTTATATGAAAATAGCCATATTTCATCTCTATTCACTTTCATGGCTGCTTGCAGAGCTTTAAACATGTATCAGCCACACAGGGCTTGATCTTCCTCTTGCTTGTCAAGGTGAAACTCCTGTATATTTGTGCTGAGGAGCTAAAGTGATGCAGTGAGCGAGGACTCTGAGTGCTGGTGCAGTGAGTGGGGTCACTCACTCTGCTCAATGCGGGCTGGATGCAGCCCACCATGCATGGTGTCTTCCTTGCATTGAAATGCACCTGAAAAAAGACAGCGGATCCTCTGTTTCTTGGCTTTTTTGATCCCCTCTCTCTTCTCTGGCTGCAGATGCAGTTCACAGCGCTTGGGAAAGTGACATGGGTGGGAGGTAAGGGACCCCCAGCACCGCTGGCTGGGTGTTCGAGGGTGTTGCAAATGCGTTCATCCCTCTACAGCGCTGGGTGCTTAGCTCCCAACCCCATGTGTTTCCTTGGCACACGCGCCTCCCTGACAGCCTCACCGGCCGTACCTTGCGTGGGAGGCTGCTGTGGTTAGGTACTAACCACAGAGCTGGAAAATTATTAACCCCTCTGTAATAACCAAGCTTTAAAGCATCCCTTTTTATCACTTGCCCTGCCTGTCTTGCAGCCTGTTTCTGTCGTCTATACTTATTTAACACCATCTGTGGAGGACTTTTCCCCTTGGTTTGCCATAACTTGTCATCAGACTGTGAAATTGTTTTTCTCAGCTCAGCTCTCCTGGAACTCCTCCTAGTCCTGGCTTTATGGATTCCTTGCTTGGGAGTCCTCTTTCTCTCAGACATTTAGGCCACAATATGTGGTTTTCAGGCTTTTTTTTTTGATTTGTGAGCTCTGAAAAATTTGAAATGAGAGTTCATGCTGTGGTACAGTGAAGCTAAGCCTGCTGGCATTAGGCTTACTCTTCACAGTTACCTCTCTCTGACCTCCCAGAAGCAGACCATGCTCTATAAATACTAGTTATAAAGCTGTGGCTGTAGGCATACAAGTATTATATCATTTCCAATGCCACAGTGGCAACAAAGGAGACTCAGAACACAAACAAAAACCACAGGATCTAAATGTAGCATGAAGTACTAGAAAAGCCCTTCTACAGTCACAGTCATTTTATTAGAGGTACTTTGTACTTGTGCAATATATACGTGCCTTTTTGGGGCAGAGTTATCAGACAGGTAGTTATGAGTACACTTTAGGTGATTCATAACTCAGGCACATATCAAGTAAGCACATCTGAAGCTTCCCCAGACATCTCAACTTAACAAAGAACATCATGGAATTATTTTTTTTTTCAAGGAATTCAGCCCACTCTAATGTCAGATCAGAGACAACTCATTAGGTTCTGCAGGTGTGATTTAAAAAAAAGAAAAAGGAAACATTCACAATACTAATTTTAATCAGCAGTATTTTATTCTCAATACCTGTCCTCTAGTAAGACCTATTTTCTTTGGAAAATACAGTCACTCTGTGACAAGACACAGAAACAGCAACGTAGCCCAAAGGCTTTTCTTCTTCACTTCCAAGACAATGTCTGTGAACATAATTGCATCCACCCATCCGTTGAACTGCCTCTTTCCAAATATCTTTGTATACGTCTAATGAAATGAAGATGTATGGCAAATTTCCATTTAAAAAATAACCTCATAAATCTCAGTCCTTACAGAATATATGTATTTCTATGCTAAGGTGAGATGCCCAGCAATCAGTGCAGCTGATGAGCTCTGTTCTTCCATTAATGCCACAATGAAATAGCCATACTGGGGAGCCAAGAGATACTGAACTGGTTACATTCTGAAGCATGGTAAGCCACACAGCGAGTGAACACACTGTACAATGAGGAAAATCTTCTCTTTTCAAATAATTTCTCTTCACTATCCCTTTCCCATAAAATGCATCACAGATAAGGCATCTGTTTAATTCCAATGAGCTCAGCATGGGAGATTTTGGGTATGCCCTAGCTATTAACTTCTTCCATTTCTTTGTTGTTGAATAGGTTTAAAAAATGGTTTCTGCACTACATGTTTAAGACAGCCAATTTCTATCCTGACTGCAATTGTCTCTGCTCTTGCCCTTTTGCACGTCCCAGTGCATCAAGGCAGGGTTGAGTCAGGTGATCTTCCTAATGAAGAATGTGAAAATGAACTTTCATCATTCTTCATGTTAATAGGAAGGACTGGAAACAAATTAATTGCTGAGGGCACAAATTAAGAAACACATGCTGAGAACCTCAGGATTGAACAGATTTTGCAATGTATTGGTTTCTTTTTAAAATTTACCCAGCACTGTAGGCTGTATGGTAGTTCCTAAGCCAGCCTGCATTGGCTGAAGAGGTAATGCTTTTGCTTATTAAGAAAACAGAATACTTGTATTTTTCTTCATCTTCTGCCTTTTTCCTAAAGGTCTTCTTCTCTTTCCTGAAAACAAACTGTGAGAAAAAGTTTCCAAATAACTGCATAGAAGGATGGGCAGCTATATTCTAACAAAATAATTTATTTTTTAGCCTCTACTTTTACCTTAAAGTCAAGCCTAAGCAAAGCCTTTTGGAATATTTTAGTTAATTTTTGTCTTTTCAACTTCATGTATTTTTTTCCTTCTCCTCTTCATTTTATTCTTTAAGGAAAATTAAGTAGAAAAGTGAAAAAAATATGTATAAAAAGCTATCCTGCTGTCAAATTCTGTATTCCTGGAGAGTTGTCAAAATCAAAGACTGTTTTCATAATTGAACTTTCTGTCTTTCATTAGTGAGTGAGCTACTAATCTTACAATAATGAAGGTTTAATTGTGTTTTATGCTGGACCATTGCAATGCAAAGTCTTAAACATTTGTACATTGAATAATAAAGCTCTTGGTGCTACATCTTGTTGTGTGGGTGAAAGTTTCAATTCTGGTTTTCTGATGAAGGGCACATGCAGTGGTCTGGAGAGTAAATGTATCCATATAGCTCAGTCTTGGAGGTTGTAAAAGAGTTTGGTACAGAGTCTTGAATGTAATAACTCACTGAGTCAACCTTTCACTTTACATGAACCTTTGACTTTTTGGACTCTTTTTGGGGTACTAGGAATGGAGAGAAAGTATTGCATGTAGGAGTAAAGATTTACAGTAATACACATTTCTTAGAGCAATTTGTTAGCCTCACATTTCTGTCTTGGATGCTGAAAAGCAGGCACCAAGAGTGACTTGACAGAGCTTTTGAGCACATCCAGTCACTCAAGTTTTCTGCTGAAATTGCCATTCTTAATTTTGGGCTTGCAAATCTGCAGTTGATTTCAATATTGCCTGCTCAATCTGATCTATGCACTGTCTTCTCTCTCAAAATATAGCTTTATAGGGACAGGGATCACTAGATTGCTGATATTCTTTTCAATTTTTTTTTTGAATCCAGAGTAAACATGAAAAGCCATTGTTGAACACAGCCCTACTCACTGCTCCTGTTCCCCCACTAACACAGATGTACCACTGTAGTATGATTCTCCCCAGGCAGACGAGCCACAAACACAGTTACTTCCACAGCCTGCAGCCCAGCCAAGAATGAAAGCAAGGTCTGAAATTCTCCTTATATATTTCATCTGTCACTCCCAATCATCCCCCTTGTTGACATCTTGAGAGTGGCATGGGGGTATAATGGAATATGTGGGGTAGCTTCAGCGACTTCCCTGAAATTGTGTAATGGGTGAATTCAATGCACTACATCCCTAGTTACAAATGCAGAGCCAGGGACAGAAAGCAAAAAGGCTGGAATGCTTGAAAAAGATCAATACTAGCTAACAATAGTCTCCAGGCTTCATTGTAAAGATAGCACACGGAATTAACAGAATTGATGATGGCTGGACTTCTGCTCATTGAGGCTGTTACCTTGCTGATGTTCTGCACTGCCACAGTGGTTTTGAACCTGAAATGTACAAACATGAAGAAACTGCCCATAGCTGAGCATTTTCCTGTTGGTTCCTCTTCACCTGTAGTGAAGTACCACAGCAGCTCTCTGTACAGAAAAACAGCTATTGGTGGCATTCCAGATGTCCCTCACATCTGTATGAGATATGAGGCTAAATGCTGCTTCTGAAATATTTGGTCATTGTAGGTTTGCTTTCCTCACAGGCAAGCTGCAGAAACTGGAGTGCTTGTCTTCCCAGTCAACATATGCTCAACATATGCCAAGTGATCCCTTCAGTCCCTGAATGGTTGAGGAGGGCTCAAAGGGGCTTGAAAATGAAAACTGCCACCATTGCATCAGAGTAACAATTCATCAGACCTTCCTTGGCAAGCTGCTCTCCTGTCCCCTGGCTGAGACAAAGGTCACAGATGCCTCATTTTGCTGCATGGCCCCCTTGAGCCTTGGGTAATGCATGTGGACTAGAAAAGCTGAGATTGTGTCAAAGCCAAGGAGGCTGGTAATCATCCAAATTCCAAAATTATTAGAGTAATAAAAGGATTAATGAAGTTTTGAAAATCATAAGGCTGATCTATTCTGCGAATTGCTCTTAAAGCTTCCTTAATGCCCTTTCTATTCTCTCTCTCCCAGTTTCTTTTCTCACTTTTGTGGTTAAGGAGCAATTTGCTTCTAAACCAAAGTTTTATCATTGTTTTTTGACAGAAGAAAACTGCTGGTATGATGCACACATTTCAGCAGTGGATGATTTTGATTCACTAGAGCTTGGAGGAGCAATGATGACAGATGTTAGCTCCTGCAATGGGGACGCTGCAGAAAGCTGTTTCTCAGATAGCTGTCAGAACTGCACACTTGCTAACCAAGTCGCAGCAAAAGTGCTAAACTTCTCACTCCTGAAGTGTGTCAGGTTTGGTGCTAGACTTTTAATTGAATCACCAACTGACATTTTTTGCATTCTTTCAGGCCTTTATAGTCCTTGTCACAGCAAGATAAAAGGATTTTGTGGATTGTTTCTGAAAGCGAAAATAGGTGGGGAACATTTTTGTTGTGTACTGCCATGGCCATCAGTAAGGTTGGGCATCCCTGATTCTCACTATTAGGCTGCATATGGAGCTGAAAGCTGTTTCTGTGATGTTCAGCATGCATATCTAAAATAGTATTGCATCAAATTATTTACAGATATTTATTGTTTTTAAATATGTTTCAGATCTGTTTGCTTTGGAGGTAGGTATTCCTCAGTGCTGTCAGCAGTTAGCCCACAGTCTCAGATGGGCTGAGCACTAATAGGCATCACACTCTTACCCAGTTATTTAAATTCTTAATGTATGTGCCACCAAAATATACCACTTTTTATCAATGTATGGAGCCACAACTCTATTTTTTTGCCAGTATTGCTGCAGTATTGGCCATCTGAGTCTTCCACTTTGCCTTGTGCTGTCCTACTTCTTGCCTCCAGGGCTCAGATCCCAGCAGTTTCTGCTCCAGCAGAGGAAACCAATGAATTTCCAAAGGAAGTGCCAGGGAGAGGCCTTACTCCTCTTGGAGTAAGGCGGCTGAAGTAGATCCAAGTTCCTTCCAAGGGACTTTGTTACCATCTCCACCACTGTGGGATGAAGCTCCCCAGAGACAGCACTCAGCCCCCCATTGTACCAAGAGCTTTGGGAAGCAAGAACAAGCAGTGGCTGGTGGGAAAGCTACTGTCCACCCTGCCCTGAACACCACCAGTGCCATCCTTCCCAGAAAGCCACAGCTCAGTGGCATCACAGTGCATGATGAGGCATCATATATGGTGATACCTCAACACGCAACAGCAGATCCTCTGCACAGCTGGGGTTCTCCAGGCTTGCTTTGGATCAAGTGTAGGCACATAATCATATTTCTGTCAAATTAGCTAGGGCATAGGATGATGAAGTTTGTGCCAGCTTTATGCTTTTATGCTGGCTTTTTGCTGGCTCTGGGAGGAGAGACGTTATCTGACCTGGCAGAAGGTGTGAGCAGTAGAGGCAGTGATACCTCATCTGGCATAAAACCTGTCAGTATTAAATTAAGTCATCATTTTTCTTTATTTGAATTGGCAGTGTGAGTTCACTCTGGATCAGCACTTTCATCATGTGTCTGGCAGCATTTCTGACGGAGTATTAACAACCCTAAAGCAGGATTTACTGAGTTGTGTGATCACAAACTTATTGTTTGAGCTTACTCTGATAAAAAGGCAGGGAGCTACTGGGTGGTGGTGTTTATTAGGTTTCAGAATGCTCCTACCCAGAGCAGTTTTCTAGTTAGGAACAATTTCCTCCCCCATAAAAAAAAAAAAAAAACACCCTTCAAGTTCCCATCTAACCAGAAAACCCCACCCGAGCACAGAAAACCCATGGATTAAAGGTTCATATGTAACTTTTGACACACTCCCCCAAACCAAACCTTTTGTGTAAACGGGAAAAAGAATCCTTTTGTAGTGCAGAAAGTCAACATGGCATAAATCACTATTTTGTTTGTTCTGTTGCTTGACATGCTGAACAAGAAACCACCACCAGACCTGTGAAATTCTTCCATTAATCCTACTGGAGCAGTTACATCCAAGTATTCTTGGGACCATGAAAAAACACTTAAATGTACTCCACTGGCTGAAATATAACACTTCACTAGCTAAAATAAAGGATGGTGTTAGGCACTAGCTCCTAATATTTGAATTACTTCATGCAGCTTTTACTTTTCCCTACCTCATTTTCAAAACATGGTTTGAAAATAGAGTGGCCTAAAAACATAATATAGCTTCCAAAGAACAGAAGGCATTGGCTAAAAGTTTAGTCTTTCAATACTTCTGTTTGCTAATGAATCCTTGGAGTAAACAAACACTCTTTTACCCCCAGTTTCTGCTAAGGCACTTGCCTTTTGTTTCAGACCCAGTACATGGGCTGAATGAGGTAATGCCTACATCTCCTAGGCCAGGAATGTATTCAGGGTAGGAGGATAATACCTGATCTTTGGTAAACACGGGGTGAATTTCAGCTCCGCTTCCAGATTCCTGTGCTTGGAGGAAAGAATTAGGACTGCTTGTCTGAACACACCAAAAAAAAAATCACTTCATCAGTTTAGCAACTGATTCAAAGCCTCAGATAGGTGCCCTCAGATGTGTTTAAAATCTGTTGTGTATACATACATAAACCTTTTAAACGAGGAGTGTCTTGTAGCAAAATTGCATCAATATAAGTGAGACAGTTAAAACACCACTCTGTCCTCAGTATAAATATTGCTTTCAGATTCATTCAGTCAGAAGCAGATGCTGAGGTAAGTTTCTTGAGGTAGAGGCTGAAAGGGCCCTGGTTCCTACAGAGCTATAGAGACCCTCTGAAAAATAAAACAGAACCCCTCCGGCACAGTGATTATGAAAATGCATATCTGCTCTACCAGAGACCGCTCCTCCTGCTTGCCTCATGCAATGTTAGAATATTTACATTTTCTCAGAATCATTTTCTTTAGACATGAAAGTCAGACAAGTATAGCCTTTGCAAGTATATTAAATAGTATTTATTGAGTCTGCAATTTCAGGGGCAAAGCTATAATCTCAGTCCCAGCTATCCACACACCATGGTACTGAGCCCTCATGTTCTTTCACTCATTCAATAAATGAACAATAACATAGAAAATCATATAGAGAAGGGGTTGAAGGAAAAAACCCTATTCTCTCAGTTTTGAAAACAGACTTAAGTCTTGTTCTCATTTACAAACACACTGCCTTTTGAATAAGCATGGTATGTTTCTATTGAAGAACAGACTTGTCCTCCTGTGGTTGGGAGATGGTACATGAATGGTTGACATGAAAGAAAGAACTACAGACAGCACTGAGAGCTTTTCCATAGGTGGGTGGTTAATGCTCCTTCAGACTGCAATGAATTACTTACAAGAGGGAGGGATGTTCCCAAATCTCCAATTGGAAAGAGCCCCTCTTCTTAGGAGGCTTTTATGTCTGAGACTGGTACTGTGGGTGCATATGTACAACAAGAGACTGCCTGCAAAATCTTATGGCAGAGGTTGTTTGAACATGTCATCTCTTCCTGGCATTTTATTTTTACCATGGTGACCCTTCTGCATAGTAAAAAAAAAAGGCATCACACAATATACACAGATCCATATTTACAGAATAAATGGCAAAAGAGGAAATTAGATACAGTGACATTTATGTCCAGGCATTAACAAACAAAAATATCCCTTGTGTTGACTCAGGGATTGTTAAAAGTTCGTTTAAACAGGTCCTTTTCTCTGCACATTGGTCTTCTTGTTTCACAAATGAGAGCCAGCAGGATGTCTCAAGGAAAGAAACAAATGCTCACTCTCCCTTAAACCATGGTCATAACCTTCAGAGAAGCGGGTTGGAATCTCCTAATCTTCTTCTTTAGTGCCTTTGAAGCTTTGATGCGACAGATTTTGGGCACTGGGGGAAGAGGCCTGGAAGAGACCTGGACAGTCCCTGATTGTCTGACTGAACCTTCGGGCCAAATCAGCTCACTTTCATCCCCCTCATCATAGTCAAGTGCGAGGCTGCTGCTGTTACTGCTGCCATCCGAGTCACTTTCACTGGATTCACTGTCCCCAAAACGGTTAGCTGTGAAATCGCTGACCTCCCCTTCGCTGGTCTCCGCGATGGTGGAGTGGAAGAGGGAAGCACACTCTGCAGAGTACTCAGAGTGGTCTGACTCGCTTCTGGCGTAAGCTCCGTGGTGATGACTCTTGGAGCGAGCCCTCATGCTGAGGGTGCGCAGGACACTGGCTCTCCTTGCTGGCTGCTTTGCTGCCCCTAGGCCAGAGGAGCTGGCCCCGTGGGCCTTGGCAGAGATCTCCACCGTGGACTGCCACTTGCGCTGCTGCTTCTTCTTGTTGGCTGTGTCTACAGAAGCTCCTTCGAGGGAATACAGCGCGTTGGCAGAAGCTCTGTAGAGCTCAGACCTGGATGGCGTGGTGGGCAGCTTGACCTGTGCAGGGAACAGGCTAGACTCTGAGCACGACCTGCCACTCACATCACCAGAGTACGAAGGTCTCCGGATGAGGCTCTTCGCTGCGTGTGGTCTTTGGGGCTGATTCCACTCAGCAGGCAGCCTGGCAGCCCCGTGAGCCCCTCTTGCCTTCTCCACACAAAAGGCTTGCTTCCCAGGACGTAGCACCTTTTCGCTGTTCCTCCTCTTTATCTTCACTGCTTTTGTTTTGGAGCTGGCAAACTTGACTCGGACTTGGTGGGATTCTGCAGGGACAAACTGGGCGTGAACAAACTCAGCTCGTGCAGCTCGCTCATGCCCTCCAGTGCTACCCAGTTTGGCATTGCCACTTCTTTTGAGGGGCAGCTTTCTGGGAGGGACAGCTTTAGCATTCCAGTTGCCCAGGCTGGAGTCCTCCTGGCATAGCTGCGAGCAGGATGAACTGCACTCTGCACTGCTCTCCATTGCCTCTGCCAGCGGAGAGCCCCTAGCCGCTGACTTGGCAGGATAACAACTATTCACAGCTGATGGCTCTGTGTCAGGGAGAGTGGACGGCTGTTCCTCATTCACACAGCGCATGGTCTCCTGCTGCTTGGCACATTCCCCCTCCGGCATCTCTCTCTGCAGCTTTCCTTCAGCTTTGTTACTTTCCAGAGAACTTGCTTGTTTTTCCAGCTGGCTACCGCTGCTGTTAATTTTCACTCCACCAGCGCTGGGGGTTATAATGAGTCTCTGGTGCATTGTGGCTGGCTGGCTCTTTGTCGAAACCCGCTCACTGGCATCAGCTCGATTGTTCCCTTTGCATCTTGTCAGTTGCAGTAACTTATTGATGTAACCCCCTGGCTTGGCCTCAGCGGTTGGCCTAGTCCTAATCAAGCTGGGACCTGTCACACTAGGCATGGGTTTGCTGGGGGAAGCCTGGAGGTCTGCTTCTGGGGATGTCCCCATCAGGGAGAAAAGGGGACTTTGTAAAGCCACCGCATGAAGGGGGCTTGGGTAAGGGTACACATCGATGCCATTCTTGGAGACCAGATCGTTCTGGAACTTGGGGTCCACGCTGTGCAGCTGCAAGTCTGCATGGCACGGAGGCAATGAGGATTTGTGATCTGTCTCTGTCTGAAATCTACTGTCTGCTGGAATGAGTCTTTCCAAGTCACCTACACAGTGGATGAAAATAAATAACTTAATTAAATCACAGACAATTACACTCAAGCTGGCTTATATTAAAAGTGTTATTTCAGAGGGATGTGTTAATTTATACTAAAATCAGTAGCAGGAATGCAGAAAGCCTTTCAGTCCTCCAAGAACACTGAATTAGCTCAGGGCTCTTATTCACCTCAGCATAATGGAGATTAGAATGCCTTTTAACACCAATGATAAAACTGATGCCTTCGCAGGAAATTTGAACTGTGCTACTTGGATGACAGTAAATCTGTGTATATATAAAAATGTTCTCAAGCAACACAGACCAACAGGAATCCAATCAACCAAAAATAAGAAGTTATTTTTATTTCTTAGTAGAGATAAAAAGTGAATCCAATAGCTTTTAAGCCTGAAGCGTCAAACCAGAATTATCCAATACAACAGATATATTTTTTTTCATACTTTCCCCCCAGGATGGGATAAAGACTTCCTCTGACTAAATAACTTTTTGTTTGTTAGCTTTAAAAACAAAACAAAACAAACAAAAAAACTAACCTATAACTTAGAAAGAAATTCCTGGAATTTCCAGCACGCAAGAGTCTACCAAATAGTCAACAGTATCTTTATTTTTTTAAAAGTGGTGAAATCTGAATTCCAGCTTCTCCTCCAACCCTTTTATATCACGCATTTTAGAAAAATCTACAGTACTCAACCAGCTTCCTTAAGAAGACTTGAACAGACACCAGGTATTTCTTAAACTCTTCACAGTTGCAAGCTGTAGGTGTGTTTTTTTGCATCTTGCTTCAGTAAGGCATTACTGAACAGAGGCACTCAACCTACAGTGCAGAGACATTAAGACTCAGGTGTCTTGACAGGCCACAATGAAGTGATTCTACTTTTCCTCAACCTGAAATCCAATAAAAACCCCTAACTGAATCTCTAATTTTATTTGACAACATCACCAGTCAATGCCTTTCTTAAGTCTCCAAACTTCTTGGAGCATTTAATTTCAGAACAAAATATTCTGAGCTTTTATTAAAAGGCACAAAATCAGGTCTGCTGTAATTATGTGTGCAGATTTTTAAAAAGTCAACCTTAAGTGTGTAGAAAAATGGGCTAGAGAACCTTTTAATTTTGACAAAGAAAAAAAAACCTAAGGGCAAGTTACACCAGATTGCTGGACTTTCCTCTCAGGAACATCTGCTCTGTGAGAGCCAGGTTGTGTTTCAGGAGCAGGACTGCTCCATCTGGACAAGTCAGCCGGTAGAGCACCATGGTGCTGTGTTACCTCCGATAGATACCAAGAGTGCTGGAACCATCTGCAGTCTGCTTGGATTTCTTGGTATGACAGTGCAGACTGCAGTGTCAACAAATCCTCAGCTAGCTACTTTCCTGGCTATTTCATGCCGCCAGGAAACCCAAACATTAAATTCAAGCAGGTATTTCACTTACAGTGACTGCCTCTCTCCTGTCCAAGGAAGCTTCTGGGAGACTTCAAAATTTGGAGCTGTCAGCACTGTCCTACCTAAGGCACTTAAAGAACTGCTTCAGCAGTTCAGGATGATGATGTCTCAAACAACATAACTACAACATGAAAATTCTTTAGGAAATTGGCAGTGTGTAGCAGTGTTCTCTTTTCCCTTTGCTTTTTACCTTCTGTGCACAGCATAGAAATTCCACAAAAAAGGACATGGTTTTACCACAAACTGATTTTTCCCCAACATTATGTTAAAAGGGAAGACACTCTAGCACACGTTCTAGCTCAAATGAATGATGCTTTCGTGTAACAGTAGTCCAGACTCATTATAGTGAGATGAAAAAGGATCAGTATCACAAGCTTTTAACAAAAATCACTTATTCTACTACAAAATGAACAGCTATGCAAAAAATCAGTCAAAGGAGCAGTGACTCAGCCACCACAAACAAACCAGGAAGGGGTCAAAAGAATACTGTGCGTGTGTGGTGTTTTACCAAGCTTGCCTTTTCTTTCTGTGGCAACAGGAAATCTGTTTGTACCTGCAGTTTTCAGCAGGGACAAGCTAGGGGGAGAAAATGAGAATTTTTTTCTCCTTTCCAAACAATGCTTTTCTGAAGTAAAATCTTGACTCACTTCTCTGCAACATGGCCAGCTTCACAGAAATTGTTTCTTTCTCCACAGAGGCAACAATCCCACCACTTATGGTTCTCACGCTGAATGAAGTAAGAGGTTGTAGCCAGGAATAAAGGAGTGGGACGTATAAAAGGGGAAGGAGGACTAAAGGAGGTCTGTGCCCTCACTCCCACACCTCTTCTTAACATTACTTATCCCTTTTTCTGCTAATCTATCTCCATACCCTACGCGCATAAAGCCACATTTGCTAAGAGCAAAACGTTGCACGTTCCTGATACAATACCAAGTCTGTAATCTGAACGTGGAAGCCACGGATCATTAAGATCAACACTTCTTCCCCCCCAGCATCTGAGAAGCCTTGAGAACAATTTGTTTTTATACTGTAATTTACCACCATCGCTTCAGGTGTGTCTGCACAGACTTGTACATAACAGGGGGTCTTTGTTTCAGCTCTCAGCAAGCCAGACGTGAGCTAGTTCAGGTAAGGAAGGTGTGGGAATGACTCCAGAGAGATGCTGTACTTGAAAAGACGTTCTCTGTGACTCCACTGTTTCTATAATGGAACAGCAACATGTCTGACTGGGTCACCCTAAGAACTGTACTAGCACGAGGCTGCTCTGAGGATATGGAAGGACCAAAATGGAAAATAATATGATGGCACTTCACAGCTACATGAACAAGGGACTCAGAGAACTAGTAGGTTTGTCCATTATGCATAAAGGTGTGAGGCAAATTTACGTTTGGTCCAGTATTAGGCTCAAGAGCAGTTCATAGATAGGCGATTAACCTTTGGTGTCTGTTATCCCTAACTGTACATTTTAAAGTATCAAGAATATCGTGTGTGCACATTACTTTCAGTAAATATGGCTAGCAAACTAAGTC